GAGACAGTCGAACCGAACGGTTCGGACGGTTTTTATAAATCGTTCCATCCCTAGTATAGTGACTGCTTTAAGTGGGTCACTGTCAGTTAAAGGCATGTTTTAGAGTCTCTATATTTCAGTTAACGATTAATCAATGCCATTTTTTGGCCCCAATACCGATACCTGGCTGTACAGTATCGGCCGATAACATCTGTTTAAAATTGATGTGTGCGTATATATATTAAGAACTGCAGACTACTTGGATGTAAAATAATTGCCATCATGGCTGTCAAGCTGCTGCATACCTTTGTGAAAGAGGGGAAAAAGACTAAAAGTGAATCCAGTAGAACTTTTTATTGCCTACCATGAATAGGTGACAATAGTTGAATAAACTGTTGGCTCTCAAAATGGTATCGGTGCCAATTAAACAAGATTAAAATGATTCATTATGTCAGCCTTACATCGTACCGTCGATTCTTTGGTGCTATTAGTTGCTGGACTTTTTCTCTCTAAATGTAGTATGATAATGCTTAAAAAAGTAGTAATAATTTTATTTTGATAAAGGTGAGCAGGAACAGACCTGTAGGCCACATTCAGGGACAGGGGCTGCCTGGAAGGGTTGTTCATCACAGCAGAATGGCCCTGCACACAAAGGACACACATTTACCACAGTAAACTGATCAGAAACATTTGAACAAATTAACGACAAACTATTGCAGTGGGAGATGCAGTTGTAAATGTCTCAACAACTCTTCAAATCTCTACGTTTCTTCCTCTCTGCTATTCTATCTCCCTGAGCTGCTTTGAAGGATGGAAAAAACTCTTGCAAAGAGTTTGATGAGCGGAGGAGGGAATGAGCAGCTGAGATCTCGCCAGAGCTGTGTGCGCAAGTAAAACGGCGACATGCAGGTAATTCAAAAACAAATCCACTCAGGTAAGTAAGCCAGTAATTGTAATTTAAACAAAGTAGGTTTAAACTTTAACAATTGTCCCGTATTTCCGAGGGAACAAACTGGAAGACGAGCCTGGAGAGCTACCTGGATGAGTGTTTGACAACATCGTAATGGTGAAGCCGAGGAATCCCACATCCACCATCTGGTTCAACCAGTGCTGCTTCTACCTCTACTTTGTCTCCAGACAGGAGCTACAGCGACATCCTGGAATCCATCGACAGAAAGCTAACCAGCCTGGACGCCCGCCTCGCCCTGCATAAGGAGTTTCAAGCTCTGAGAGAGTCGCTGGAATACAGCCAAGCTCAGCTGGCCTCTGTTATGCTGGAGAAGGAATAAATTGAACTTTTGCTGCTAAAAGCGCCACATCAACCAATCCGAGAAGCTGATCTGGGAGCTGGCAGGGAGTCAGACACAGCACTGCTGATGCAGAGCGCTATGATCACTCCTCTGAAACAGTTTATTAACGCATAAATTAACTTCAAATGTAGAAACCTGCCAGCAGAATATATTTGCTTTTATTATTCTGGTGCCTACAGATAGGACCACAGACATGAAAAATGCTAACATCTATTTTCCACTCCTACCAATAGTAGGGGATAAACCCCAAGAGGCGAGCAGGCCTGAGGCAGCTGCTGCTGGGGATTCCCAGTGACACCGCCGGTATGTGGGGGTCTGAGCGGCTCCCACAGAGAAATAATATTTGATGAAAATGGAGAAGCATCTAAAATGAAGCAGCAGGAGCCATTTTGCTGCTGAAATTGTGTACGGTGAACGTAGCATTAGGCTTCAGATGAACACCCATAATCCTCTGCTGCATCACAGTTTGTACCACATGACCAAGGCCCTCCTCTTTTCTGTCACCCAGATGCTAGCTATTAGCAGTTAGCAGTTTACGTCAGCCCAGTTTTAATTACCAAACCGATACCAATGTTATAACAGTCCAACCCTGAGATGTTAATGCTGATATATAATTCACCCCTAGTTATAAATGATAACGTTATTGTGAAATATCGGGTCAATAGAACTTACGAGCAGGTCAAGGATCCACGGGGTTAGAGGTTCAAAACCAGGGAAACGGGCCCCAAGGTCTTTCAGGAGACGGATCAGTACTTTCACTCTGAAGATTAGAAAGCCAACAGGAAAGTTCAGGTGGGTGAAGTAGCAACAGAAAAGCGTGCAGCACAAATTGGTGTCTAAAGAATAGTTCAAATACTCACGTTGACTGAGAGGCATTCTCCTCAAACCAGCGGGCGTGGCGGATGGCAGCCAGGGCGCTCTGCAGCACCTTGATGTCCACTAAAAACAATACAGAACATATTATATTTATTCAAGCCATTAAAATACTGAAATGAGAAATTCTAATGTCTTAAGCTCATCTCGAGTGCATTAAGAAAACTGTATATAAGTTAATATTTGATTAACATTCTTAGGCTTCACAAATCATTTAATCTCCAGGTATACCGTTTAAAAATGTATTTTTGTCTAAATTAAAAATGCAGAACTCTGCAAGTCCAAATAAACTAATACAGATTTCATAGCTTCAAATACTTCAACCAAATTACAAACTGCACATACTTTAAGTTTTCCCTGGATTTCAGGTGGCAAGATGGCACCTTTAGCCCTTTCATCACAATATTTTTATCACTGCTGCTTACCTGCACTTTAAAATAACTTTTGTTAAGTTCAACTCTCTAGACTATTTCATTTTTTAGTTTACACTTGTGTGTTCAACCTGACAAAATAAAATCTGTCCAAATCTAAGTGTGATGCTGCAGTTTAAGGGAAGTTTTATAATTTGTGTGGGTGTGGTGCGTTGTGTGGATGGTCATACGGTGCAGTTCTGGGTCCAGCTTGCGCAGATTGGGCGGGACGGTGGTGATGAGAATCTTAACGGTAGCATCAGCAGAACTTATCTCAAAACCCGTCTCATTGGTCAGCATGGAAAGCACTGAAAATAAGACATGGACAGTCAGGACATTAATGCTGTTCAACTATGGAAGAAAAACAGTTTAATTGGAATCTGCCTTTTAGGCTTGTCCCGATCCGATCCACGTATCGGATCGGGACGCCGATATTGGCAAAAAATGCGTATCGGCAAAGCATGTAAAATGCTGATCCAGACTGCCGATCCAGTTTTAAAAAAAAAAGACGGTCCGTATTTTCCAGTTTCGCCGATTGAAACGATCCATTCCACTATTTTGCGCCAGTGTTTCCCTGTTTTGCATTTTTATTAAAACTTACAGTAATACTTGCACCTTTAACTGTTTACGGTTTTACTGCTCACTGTGCAATTTCAGATTGCTATTCATAATTTTGTCCAGTTTGTGTTTATCTCTTAATAAACAGGTAAGTTTGTTGTTACCAAGCATTGTGTTTTATTCAATCTCACCTAATTCAGCTGGCTAGATGTTATCAAGAGTACTAAAACCCTTTTCAACATGAGTCTTACAACTAAGGCTAAATACTTTAACTTAAACTTAAATACATGCTCGGATAGGCTGGTATCGGCCAGTATCGGTATCGGATCGGAAGTCCAAAAACAATATCGGTATCGGATCGGAAGTGCAAAAACCTGGATCGGGACATCTCTACTGCCTTTTTTTTTTTAACACCGAATTTTAAACAGAATTTTTTTTAGACATTGAATTCCTTACACTATAAAAATTTAGCCAATGAAATTAGCTCATTTGGTCACGTGACACAGCTGTGATCGGCTCAGTTGTTTCACCCAGTCTGATAAGAGGAGAAACTCTAATAGCTGTCTGTTAGTAGCTAACTGACGTTTTGTAATTTTATCTGTTTTAACAAAAAAAATTCCTCATTCAGCCAGAAACAGCGCTGAGCGCAGCTTTTGTGTCACATGACCAAATTAGCTAATTTCATTGGCTAGAAGCTGCTCGACTCTATCGAGTGTGGATTGCTTTGGCTTGAGTTCAACAAAAGGTCAACACTTCTGAGGCTGAATTTTTTTCTGGTAATTTTTTACCAGATAAAAATTGAGTCTAAGGAATTCAATGTCTAAAAAAATTCAGTGTTAAAAAAAAGGCACATTGTAATGAGACTGTTTTTTTTTTCATATTCAACTTGGGTTTAAAATTAGATTGAGCAACTTTTAATCCTAAAGCTTTAGCAAAGGAAATAAACAAAAATGATGCTTTAATGTAAAGGAAATAAATCTTAGACATAAAATTTGAAATATTTACCATGATCTTCACACTATTGCTCACATTAAAAGCATATACATTCAATTTAAAACATTTTCCACAGATAAAATCTGTATTGGTTGCTTTCATCTCAACTATTTTGAAATATATAGTTTCGGAAAAACTAAAGAGAAAACCTGACATGTATGCCATGTGCGACATGAAATCGAGGTTGAGGTTCTTCCGGACAGGTAATAGATCACAGCTTTTAGAATTGGGATAGTTCCATTAAAAAACCACCACCCCAATAAGGAAACACCCTCGGGGAAAAACCCATGAGAAAAAAACCATCAGAGAATCACATATTTAATACAGAAGTGATCATATTCTAGCCTTTAGATGGTAGGAAAACGCTTTCTTGGCTACTCGGATTCCACCAGCTGGCTTTATTTTTCTTTCATTTCTAGTTTATTAAGCCTCTTTATTAAGGGGCGGTCTAGTATAGTGATTTGACAAAAGCTTTGTCATTCTCATGACTTAAAATCACTATAATCACCTTAAAAAATAAAATAAAATAGGAGCCCTTGAGAAAAAAAAGGGCTGGTGAGCCAAGATTGAGTACAGATTGATATTTCAGAGCTCCTGCAGGTTTAACATTGTTGCTTTAAAAACCACATCTGCTACTAATGTTGAGCAAAATCAGATTATTAAAGGTTTTGGACATTGAAGAACTCCGTTCCAGCAGACGTTACTTCATAAATGGTGGATAAACTTTGCAAATTCAAGTACTACGGTAACGCAGCATAGCTAACGGCTAAAACCAGAGCCACGAGGCGACATATTTCAGAAGACCAAGACCCACAACCTGAGAGCCCTGATATCACTGAGCCGACATCCTAACCTCTATATGAGGGGAAATCTCTAAAATTATAAGGGAGGGAATGAGAAGTGCACCGTCTGAAGAGTTCACCACTCTCAGAGCTGACGTCAACGCAGTGAGGGCCGAAATAGCCGGTAATGATGCAGAGGTGTCTGCTTTGGATTACTTTAGACAGCATGTCTCTAAATCACATAGAAAGAGAACATTAAGGAGTTTAGAGAACCCATGAAGGCCATGGACTACAGACGGACCATTCCCACTACGATAACTGGAACTGAACCGAAGCTGCAAATGCTAATATAACAACATTTATCAGTAGCTATGAAATATTCTGTCTTTAGCTGCTTAAATGCCAACAGTGATTATGTTCAAAGTTACTTTACTAAACTGGACATTTGAAAGGCAAATTACAAAAGATCACTAAGTCACAATCAGTCATAATTAAGCTGTAGTGATATCACTAGTAGATTTTACTCTGTGGTCAAAGTCAATGGCTGAAATTCACTGCTGTAATTGGGGTGGGTGGGGGGAATCACCCCATATGCTTGAGAGTGGGGTGAGGGGGTGAGGGAGATTTATACATTTTTAAATATTTTTCTAACGAAAAACACGCATAGACCCACTATTTTTAAACATGGGTCGACCCGCTAATAATTTGAGCATTGGGCTCCCTTCCCACTGGCAAAAGAAGCTGGAGGGGAGGGTCTAACCCCATGCTGGCCAGAGGGGGGTGCACTTAAGTATTGCAGTGCTGTTATTTGAAGGAGAGGAGATTACATTGCATTTTATTTTAAGTAGAGGAGAAGGAAGGCTGGGAACTAATGTGTTAAAATAATTTGCTTTAATAGCATTTCATTTCATAGTCACAATATGAAGCATTTATATTTATTAACAATTCTGTAAAAACATATTGCTCAAGCATACCGTTTCATAGCTCGCAGACCAGTAGTTTATTACCTCAACTTGGAGGCCATTTTGCTTATAAAAGTCATAAAAAAAAAACCTGGAAAAGGAGCGCAGACGACATCAGTGAGTGAAAGAAGCCTTCTGTCAATATTACCTTCTGTGGGGTCCTGAGTGCGAAGAGTCTCAACAACTTTGTTCCCAAGAGCAGCTACTGCCTCCACTGTGAAAGATTAAAAGACATTTTAAAATGCACAATTGTTTTCTTTTTCTTTTTTTACATGGTCGTTTAATTCTGATTAAGGATTACATTAAGCACGGATGCTAACTGAAATAATCCCCAACCAAGATAATAATCAGATCTTTAACTCTAGCATAGTGATTCTAAAATAGTAAATTTGCTGAAAGAATAAACCCTCGTGAAGGAGCCTAAACTGTACAGAAATTATAAACATTTTCGATTTAAATTAAAAATGTTCGTAGCGTGTAAATCTGTTCTATCCAGAGAGAGGCAGTTTGGGCTTCACCAAGTTGAATACTATTTAAAAACCCCAAAAACCTCATACTAAGCACATTTTCCCCAATTAAACTGTTACTTGATAACTTTGTTAAATTTCTACAAGCCCAGACACTGAAGAAATTAGGCTGATGCTTTAATCTATTGCATTTCTCAATATGTGTACTTGTGTGTTCTTACGCGCTCGTGAAACGTCATTTGCACCAGCGTTGATCCAATTCACAAGACCGAGAAGAGAAAAAGTCTCCGGATGCATTTCTTCGCCCCTCCCTCTACTCAGCATGCATCAGTGCAGACCTGTGCTTTATCCAGCTGTCCCAACATGAACCGCGGAAGCAGCAGCTTAAAGCGGAGCGCCGGTTAAAATTTCACTTTCTGTAGCCATTGTTCTACAAAAATTGTTTTTTAGATAATTTGAGGCGTGAATATTATACTTTTAAACGTGACTATATAGCCAATTTACTGATTTAGTGTGTAATTAGAAAAAAAAGATGGAGGGTTTATGTTGGTTTATTTGGCAATTGATTTGTGTTAATCTGACTGCTTAATCCTAATTCCCCCACTAAATGAATGGATTTTATTATCTAGACACCATTAATAACAGGAGGTGAAATACAGATCCAAACCAGCTTTGAATGTGGTGATGTCACGAGTACGCGTCTGTTCCAATTATTCTGCTTGCTCCGTTCTCTACGTGTGCATACTTTCTGTGTTCTAGTCAAGAATGGACTCGGCAGGAAAACGAGTCCATTCTGGCATTCTTGTGAATTGAGAAACAGCCTATGTCTATCAAAAATTTTGGTTAGCCTAAAAATCTCTTTAACAGGAAGACATTTGACCCTTTATGGGCATCTGTCTTGTGCGAGCTCAGACCAAACGTGGTGTCTAGGGGTGTAAATAATAATCATTTTGTATCGATGCATCGAT